ACTCTCTTGCTCATAGCTCCAACTCTTCTCACGCTCTCGTTGGCACGTCGCCGCTCCTTAGCTCGCGTAATACTCTCAAGCTGTGCGTCTCTCTGCCAGCGCTGCCGTATTCCCGCAAGTGAGGGCTTCTCTCTCTCTTGAGTGGCACAACCTCTCCTTTATAGTAGAGAGGCCAGGTGATCGGGTCTAAGTGCAACAGTCCCATGGTCGGGGCTGGGGCTAAAAATAGACCAGGTCTTGGCTATATTTAGCACTAGTCCCAACCTTGGGATATGAACAGGCATCCTTAGGTAGATGGACAGTCAGTCCCACGCCAAAAATAGCATGGGACTGTGTTAATTTTAGCATGGGACTGGTGCAGGCCCAGTCCCCGGTAGACGAACAGTCGGTCCCACGCTAAAAATAGCGTGGGACTGTGCTAATTTTAGCACAGGACTGGTGCAGGCCCAGTCCCCGGTAGACGAATAGTCAGTCCCACGCTAAAAATAGTGTGGGACAGTCAGTCCCCGGTAGACGAACAGTTAGTCACAGCGCGCCACTAAACGAGAGTGCGCGCCCACGGGGCCGGGTGCACGGCGGGCGTCGATGCGGATGAATATCTCGACGTGCCCGCCGTCGGATAACATTTCATGTCGATTTGTGTCCGGCCCCCCTTTTTTTTTTTTTTTTTTTTTTTTGGATTTGTTTGATGGAAGCAAGCATATCAGCATACACACAAGCATCCTAAACGCTTGGAAAACAGTTGAATGGAGTATGAACTTCATTAACACTCAGAGAGTCCATGCTCTCAAAGACAACTCAACGCGCCACCATCGCTCCACACCCCCAAGAACCACCCACCTTTCCATCGATCAAACCGCGCCAGCATCCACTCGTGCGACTACTCGCAAGCGCCCAGTCTCACGAACCGATGCCAGGAGGATTGAACCCGGCTTAATGCCAGGATTTTAACTGTATCCCATCGTCATTACCCTGTCCGCTCGGTCCTAGCTAGCAACCTTTTCACACGAAATTCTCAATACTACCGAGTCCTACCTAGGTACTTACCAACATACACGAAAACCACGACTACAGTCATTGCAGACTCCCTCCAGAAAATCCACGGCCTATTACTCTACCTAATACGTAAAGTCANGTACTTACCAACATACACGAAAACCACGACTACAGTCATTGCAGACTCCCTCCAGAAAATCCACGGCCTATTACTCTACCTAATACGTAAAGTCACGTACTACCCCATCCGGCTGAATAGACTGAACTTCGCTAAACACTCAAAACACACTTAAAAAAGCAGAATTTTCTGGACCAGGACACCCTTACTCGGTTTGATTTCCTCCACCGAGGGACCAAGCAGATACCAGAAGGCCCTCTTGGCGCTGTCCGGCCCAAACAAAAACAACGAAACGACGAATCAGCAAACAACAAAACAACAAACCGGTCCCGTGATCAAATCCCACTGCAGCACTCCACCTGTGCTGGGACATACAATACTCCGGTTGCAAATGTCACCCTGAACTATATAACGGAACAAAGAAACATAGAACCCAGTCCTGAGATCAAATCCCGGTACAGTACCGTACGGGCATTACCCTGGTTTATACATACCCGACCTACACAAGTTGCATTACTAATCTAATTGTCACCCAGTTCCCGTTCGTACGTGTCTATCCTCAACAGTTCGGCAATCATCTTCCACGTGTTTCCCTTCTCCCGGGAGAAGTTCCTCATGGCCAGGTCAAAATAATGACCTGGGTAATCCCTTCGTCGCAATTCCATTCTCACCATAACCATTGCTCTTATCATGCCTGAGCCTGGAAAGGAATTTGCATCGATCCGAAATCTTGGAAGGCACTAAACGTCATACTACTTCTGTTGACTAAGTCCGACTCATTCTTCACGGCCTGGTAGCAGCCCAGGTAAGGGTAGTTATCCCTCACAGTCAATTCACAACCGAGGAATTCCCAACTTCTCTCATTACAATCTGTCCTCTTCAATGTCAGGGCCCGATCGTAGCAGTTCTTGAACTTTCTCAGGATCTTGCACGCCTTCTTTTTCCCATCCCTCCTCTTTGTGTTATAAGCCACGAAACAGGATGCGTCATCTACGACCAGCTACATACCTCCGTTGGTTTCCCAATGTCGTCAGGAAATCCCATTCCGCTTTGGCACACATCAAGCATGCCAATGGTGGGCAGGACGATTTTCCCATTGGGATGCCGATCACTTGCCTAAGCACGGCCATACCCGCAACCGTACAGCAATGTTCCAGATCGAATTTGATATACCGCATTAGAATCTTGAAACTCACAAACGTGTATCCTTCCATGTTCTCTGCTTGACTCATTTTTGCTCCTTTCCCTCACCTTCGCACATGCACTCCTGTGATTTCCTTCCTGCCATAACACTATGTACACCAATCGACCGCACGTACGATCGACTCCTGCGGCAACTTACTAAACATGTCTTTTATGTCATAAGATGCCGTCAACACTCTCACGTTCTTACATGCTGCCTCCATCTTCTTATTGATCTTCTTCAGACGCTTCTTCATCTGACAAACTGCCTTGAGATTGAAGTGCTCATACTCAGGTAAACCAAACAGCATACCGTTCAAACTCCGGGCTACGACCTTGCTAGCCCTGTTGCTCGGTTCACAGTAAGTCGGGCATATTGGTCGGTACTTACTCGTGTCCTTATGCTTCGGCAACGAGTAAGTTTTTCCCAACTTCCCTTCCTTCCGCCGCTTGCCTAGAACCTGGAAACCATTCTCGTTATATGATTCCCCCATTTCCTCTAGCACATGGCACTCGTCGCTTCTGCACGGTACATACCTCTCGTTCTCTACAAAGGTCGACTTCATCGCTGTCCCGTACGTCTCCGGGCACATTACCAAAGTCTCTACCGGGTTCCTATCCAAAGGGCAAAGCACGAGTCCACTGAGTTGTCTCTTCATCCTACGGATCCTTTCCACTTTGGCCGTGATTTCTCTCCGCACCTCACTCACGCAACCTGCTACCTCTAACGGACTTATCGTGATCTGGCCGATGTCGTTGCCTAACCAATTCACGATGTTCATCGAATCCGTTAGTTCGTTCATCAGTCTTGATTGTACGTCTTCGTCGTCTTCAACTGGCACGTTCTTCGTGTGCTTTGAGATGCTCAGGCTTTGACTCCATTCGCTAAGTCGGAAATGTACGTGCCCGTTCACCATCGGAAGGGCTCTACCGACGCATGTGCACCGAGTGACGCTATCGACTGCATATCGTCGATGATTATTAATAATCTCCCCGACATTCAGACTTATCGTCCAAACAACTCGAACGCATCTTCGCACCATTTCCTTCGTTGCGACATCAAGTCTCAGCTCCCCCACCTTCTTCTTCACTAATCTACAAACTTCCCCTTTCTTAATTCTCTCACTGAAATGGACCTGTACAATTACCCGTCTACGTACGTTTATCCCATACCGCGCTTTGATTGCATCTGATATCATTCTCCTTGCCCGACTCCTATTCCTCTTTGTTGAGAACAGTTTTGCTCCGCTGTAGTACTTTACTAGCTCCACCAGTTTCTTCTTCTTCAGTCCTGCCTTCTTGTGCTTGTTTATAAACATTCCCACTATCTCCTCTTTCAGTTGCAGATTCCCTGGTGTTGCCTCCAGCACTTTCCGCCTGTGTAGAAAATCCGGATATCCGGCAGGCCATTTTATCCGGAATTTTCAATCCGGATGAAAATTCCGGATTAATTCCGGAAATGGAAAAATCCGGCCCTGCGCAAAACATTTTTTTTTTACCGAAAAAAAAAAAATTTCAAATAATTCTGGGAAAAAAGTATGTTGTTCACATCAACGATACGAACAACTTTTGGCTTGAGGCCATTGTTGATACCTCAACAGATAAAAAGATAAAAATATAAAACAGAAAAAGAAAATAATATTTGGATAAAAAATTATAAAACGAATCAAGCATCCCCCCTCTAAACCCCTTCATTCCCTATCTTACCCCCTTTCAACCCTTCCATGACTTATCAAGCTTTTTATGAAATAGGAACATAGTTCTATTGTATTTTGCATGTGCAATATTACTCTTTTTTTTTTCTTTTTTTTTTTTTTGGCCATTTTTTTAATAATCCGGATTTCCGGATAATCCTAGGGCCCGATAATCCGGCCAGATAATCCGACCAGATTATCCGGCCAGGTATGCCGTGCTACATAGCTTTCCGCAGTACCACCTTCCCACCATTCTCAAATAAACTCTTGCACTTCCTCAAAGGGCGCGTTTGTTTCCCGATCACAACTCTCGTTTCCCCAAACAATGTCCGCACCAACCTCCACCCATCTGCCCAAACTGTCCCACCATCGCTGCGCAGCTCCACCTGATCACCTCAACCCCGCTCTCTCAGACTCCGAAACAAAGAGATATTACGAATGGTTCCTCCTTTTTTACTGTCCTCGGTTCTCAACTTCAATATCCTACCATCGCCTTTGGGCCTTCTCATTTCCCTAGGCCGTACCGCATCGTTCTTCGATTCCCTTCTTCTCTCTCTCCGTCCCTGACGTCTCCGCTTTCTCGGCTTTCTCTTTTTACCTCGTACGTTCAATGATGGAGACCAGGTTCGGATCAGCGTTGCTTCGACGGTTTCGAGTTCTTGACGGGCATTGCTACTATACACAGGAACCGCAACGTACTTGCTGTGCCCGACTTTACTCGACCAGTTATACAGATTTCGTCTCTTTTTGTGACCACTGCTTATGCAACATGCCACGTGCTCTCTCCATCTCGCCCAGAAATCTATTTCGGTAAACCCAATATACGTATGCCTATTCCATGGTGATAATAAAACGTAAACACATTTTCCAGGCCTATGTAACTCTAGGCTCCCTTTTTCGAATTCATCTCTCACGTACGGTACAAACTTCTCGGCCCACTCGATTTCACCTGTCAGCGCTAGTACTATCGTCAGCAATCGCATACGGTAATCTTCCCACTTATTCTTACCTCCATGCCTGTATCTTTGTTCAACCAGCTCATTCACCTCTCGCCATATATTGTCTACATCCGGTCTTCACACTTTCTGATCCTCTTCAGATTCTTCCTCAGATGTCTCCTTTTCCTCCTCCGCGCCTTCCTTCGATGCAGTCTCCCGTCCCGCAGCTCGTATCGTAACTCCCGGAGTACTTGGTAACGGGACATTCACCGGGTCGTAGGCTTGAATCTTCCTTCTCATTATTAGCCTCTTCAAAGCTAGATCTCGATTTTCGTACGATATCTTGTCCTGTTTGCACTGATCCTTCAGTTCATCGATCGTCAAAGCTTCAAACACCTCTCTCAAATCTCTCTCGTACTTCTCCATGGCTCCTAGGCCCGTCCCCGCCGTCACGTGTTTCATGGATATCCCGAGCTTGCCAGTTGGTTCCAGCGCCTTTGACAGATCTCGTCGTGTCGAGGTCGATGTACCCTCCATCTTGCCTTGTTCCGCAACTTTGATTTCATCGATGTGCGCCATCGCTTCCTTTCCCAAACCCGTCTTCTGTCCTTTAGTTGGCGTGACCATAGGTGGGCTGTTTCCCACCGGGCTTTCCACAAGTCCTCGCTTTCTCTTTTCTTTGATACGCAACCCCGCCGCGCGTCTCCTTAGGAGCACCAGCTCCTCGTACTCCTCTTCTTCGTCATCGGATTGCTCCTGGCTCGCGATCAATCGTAGTAGTCTCTCCTTTTCTTCTTCTCTCGTTTCGCCCAACTCATTCCTTTTGATGACTTGCCTCCCTTTGCTTACTGTCTTCCGCTCCCCTTCACCCTCATAATCCTTCTTTAGTTCACCGAGCAGTGTCTTCAGCAGTCTTGCATCTCTCTCCTCTTCATATCTCTTCTTTTCTTCAAGTTTCTCCGCTTTCTTCCGGCCATCCGCGCTTCCTCTTCCTTCCTTTGCTCCTGTTCCCTTGCCTCTCTTTCAATTCTCTCCCGTCACTCTTGGGCCATCTGTACCAAATATTCTCTCATCAAGTTATTCGTCTCGTCCGTCTCGCTGCGTGCAGCCGTAGTTGTCGTGATCGCCGTGGTCATTGCATCTGCAGAATGGCTCCTCCTCTCTGTTCCCACATTCATCGTTCTACCTGTCCTTGAGCGCTCCGGTGGAGGGGGAACGAATGGAACACCTCTCGCCTTTGCCTGCCAATACTCCGCGCACATGCTAGCGAAATGATCAGCCTCCCCACACTTATAACAGCATTTACCAACCAGTGGGTTATAGCCCCGCTGAGGTGCGCTCCCACCCACATTCCCTCCGGATCCGCTTGATCCGGTGTTCGTCGCCATCCTTTATATCGACCGCCACCAAAGCGTCGGGCACTTCTCTCCTTCTCCTTTCGCTACTCAGCTTCACGATTCTTGTAACTTCAAGAAAGCCGACTGTCTCCCGCCACCCGTTCTAGGTATGACCTCCTAGCAGGTTACGGTTCTTTGATGCAGGAAGCAAGCATATCAGCATACACACAAGCATCCTAAACGCTTGGAAAACAGTTGAATGGAGTATCAACTTCGTTAACACTCACAGAGTCCATGCTCTCAAAGACAACTCAACGCGCCACCACCGCTCCACACCCCCAAGAACCACCCGCCTTTCCATCGATCAAACCGCGCCAGCATCCAGTCGTGCGACTATGTGCAAGCGCCCAGTCTCACGAACCGATGCCAAGAGGACTGCACCCGGCCTAATGCCAGGATTTTAACCGTATCCCATCGTCATTACCCTGTCCGCTCGGTCCTAGCTAACTACCTTTTCACACAAAATTCTCAATACTACCGAGTCCCACCTAGGTACTTACCAACATACACGAAAACCACGACTACAGTCATTGCAGACTCCCTCCAGAAAATCCACGGCCTATTACTCTACCTAATACGTAAAGTCA